CTCGGGGGTGCCGGAGAGGTAAGGTAGCGCCCCGCCCGCCCTTCTTGGGCCGCTCAAAGTACCCACCGTCGGGAGGGCCTGGGAGATGCTGTTCCCTCTTTCTGCGGGGGAGCGGGGGGCAGTCGCTCCAGCGCCGTTTGCACGCCACGCTTCCCATACAAAAACTCCAGCCGGGTCGTTAAACCGGAGGGTAAGGAACATGATCGACCAGCTCCAGAGGAAAATCTGGACCGCTCCGAAACTATGCGCCTGCCTGCGTGGGAGCGCTCAGCTGCTGCCCTGAAGGGACTGCTGTGGGAAAGATCCTTACGGAAAGGTTTCTGTGCTTGGTCCCTATATTAAAGCGTATTTAACTGCAGCCATCGGCATCAGCAGCTCTCCTGCGTTTCTTGGTAGCTGTGAGAAACCCTTCTCCACTCTTAGCCTGCCTCTGAGAAATGGGTGACAGACCAGCCTCGTGAATTAAAAGAATGTTCTTCTGTGTTCTAGCAGGATCTAGTTTTGTTTGGCGTGGAGAAGCTGTGATGGAGAATGGTTAGGCAGGGATCAGTGACATCACTCGGCAGGAAACACTCTTGGAGCTATCTCACATGATGATAAAAGTCTCACAGATAACCCCTGCAGTAGTTGAATACGTCATAGGTCATAGACCAGCATATTGACCAAAATACAGACATTGCAGATACTGGATTTTATTTTTAGCATGAAATTTCACTTGAGAAGCATGTTACCCAGTTTTTGTTCTGTGTGTGTAATCTGGGTGCTGGATTTTTGTCAGCAACTTCAGCTTCATGTGAAATGACACCAAATCGCTTCAACGTTTAGCACCTTTAGTCTGTCCCTCCCATGAAAAAGTCTTCCGCAAAACTGACCTCTTCCTTATTGGAGGTGAAGGGGAGGGGGAAGGGAAAACAGCCTGGTAACTGTTAACAGTGAAGTAATCATGGTGGGCTAAGAAGTTGCACCTTAATAAACCTAAAGAAGGTTGCACTTATATATATACAGACTAGCTTTCAGGAACAAATGCCACCGCTGTGGAAATAATCACCAATCTGAAAACAACTTCCCCTTCTGTAAAACGTTGGGCTCCTGGCCGTCTGGCGCTTGGCAGTTTGACTCCAAGATGGCTTTTTGATGGAAGGCACAGGCTGTGCTTTGAAGCAGATTTGGTGTCGTTTCACATGAAACTGAGCTCACTGACAGAAATCTGCTTGGGAGACGGGAAGAATCAGGCAGTGATAATGTCAAATCTGTAGAATGGAAGTGGGAGTGAGCTAGGGAGATATGGTGGCTATGGTATGTGGGCGTTGTGAGTGGGAACAGATACCTCTTTGGTTAGAGGGCAAGCCAGGGGAGGGACTGGAAAGGGGACTTGGAGCACTCATCACTTGAAGATGCAGCATATGCTGACATTTTTATATTGCCGTAGTAAATTAGATCATCTCTTGAACTCGTGCAAGTTAGCGTGATAGAAGTTCTCTTCTGTTGGCAGGTCTTTGTCAAGAGACTTTTTTGCGTGGAGGTGTTAGAGGAGAAGTGGTTGGGGTTTTTTGGGTGTTGTTTTTTTGTTGGTGGTGGGTTTTTTTTCCTGTCTGCTTTCTATCTCAAAGTGATGTGGCTGCCTGCGAAAATCTTATCTTGCCAGCAGAAGTTAAAATGACAGAGTTTGCAAGCATCCGGACAAAAGAGGATGAGAAAATGTCTCATTTTGAAGCTGTTGGCTCCTTACAGAACACTTGAACGTGAAAGGAAATGTTATGGGGAAGGAGGCTTAAAAAGAGAAAAATAATACACAAGTTGCTTTTTTGAGCTTTGAAAAAAATGTTTCCTGTAAATAGTAAGATGCCTTTAAGCAGCGTGTTTGGTTTGGTTAGTTTCCGGAGAGGATGTGAGCTTTTATTTTTCAGGCTTCAAAATGGTTTGTCACACATCTGGTGCTGTTAGCAGCCCACATCTGTGGTACTTGAATTTGCTGTCCGATCATGTTAATAGGAGCAATGGTTGCTGAAAATTCTGCTCCTCGTTAATACCAAAGAGACAAATACTTGTACTCCGTGATTGACACTGTTTCAAAATCTGCACATCCAATCAAGAATGCTTCTTTTTTAATTTAGTGTGCAACAGCGAATGTCATATCGTTTAGTGTTTTGTTGTGGTTTTGGGTTTGGAGTTTTTTTCTTGTACGATTTTTACTAATCTGAAAAACGTTACTATTTTGCCAGATTTGTTCCTGACTTCCCATAAAAATGTCCAAGGTAAGAATAACGTTTCTGTCTTCCAGTGTAACTATGTGAAACAGATATTGTGTTTTTCAATATTTATCTACAGAGGGCAGAAGGCGTAACTTGTGTTTGATGGTGATGTGTAAGCTAAATTTATGGGTCATAAATAAGAGAGAATTCACATTTAGAAGGCATAATATTGAAAGATTAAGTGATGTAAATCATATATTAGTTTCCTACAAGTATAAACTGTGCAGTTAACTAATAGTCTTGAATTTTGGTCATGGAGTCGCATACAAGCTCCCTGGTGCGTTTTCATTGAAACTCCCATTCTGCTACTGTGTTTTGAGCAGGAATCATTTATGAAAAGATTGTTCTTAGATTTAATGTCTTCATTTACTAATATAGTCAACTGCTCTTCCAGAAAAATCCTTCATAAACAATATAACTTAAAATTCTGTTGACATGCTGGGCTTTGTCTAATTCTTGGTCCCCTGTGTATGGTACAATAGGCAGAATATCCATGTTAGCTTACTGGAGTGAAGTGAATGATAAAGGGTACTTGAGTTATGCGTTTGAAGAGCAGAAACTAATAGCTCTAAAAATTTCTCTGCACTGTTTGTAGTACTGGACAGTTGAAACACTGTTGTGTAAATCTTCACACACACACACACCCCCTTTAAAAAGAGATCTCTACAGAGGACTTCCAGCTGATGGCCAGCAGTTTGCTGATCCTTCAGTGGTTTCATTTGGATGTGCCAAAACCAGATTAGGATTGGTCGGCTTTTTTTTAAGTCCGTAAACATTGGACACAAGCTTTTTTTATTTTAAATGTGGGTGAAGACACTGTTTAAAAAGTGTGTGATTAGTGAATGCACTTCAATAAATAAGTGTTTGGGGTTTTGTTTCTTTATTACTTAAAGTGATCTTGGCTGGATAACTGAATAAATGAAACTTTAGATTTTTTTTTAAACTCTAGGTGAAGGCAATTGTTCTGTACTTCATTGTGAACCTGTTGAAATACTTGAGGAAAGTAGTTACACAAACAAGTATGTCTTGAGCGATTGCTTATTATCATCTTATTTTATTTCATTTTTAGCAACAGCCTGCTCAGTTTACCAATCCAGAAACCCCTGGCTATGTTGGGTTTGCAAACCTTCCCAATCAGGTTCACCGGAAGTCTGTGAAAAAGGGGTTTGAGTTTACTCTCATGGTGGTCGGTAAGGAAACGTTTTATCATCTCTCAGAATTAGTATTTGCTCACAGGGAATTTAGAATTAAAGTGAGTATTAGTTCCACTATTGTAGGGCTTGCATCAGAAAGCTCTTCTCTTCTGTAGCATTTAACTTTCTTTTATAGTTTATTAATTCATGCAGCAATTGTTTTCCACACTACAAACCGTGTTTGAATACATTCATAAGTTTGTGGGTGAAGAAATTTTGTTGTGCACTCCAGTGATCCTTACTTCTCTTCTTCTCTTCTGTCTTATGGGATTCAGGCATTCCATTTAAAATACGGTTTACAACTTGTTTTTTTGCATTTGAATACAATCTGTGTTTGCTTGCATGTTTTGATGAAGAGAATAGTGCTATGGAGACTATTCTATTTAAAATGTTCTTTGTGTTTCTGTAGCTCAAAAGAATATAAACTTTGGTCTTTTCATGGCTCTAACTACTCTTGAAGAGAAGAATGAGAATTGGAGTAGTTGGTTTTGATGTGAGCTGTTAGTTTTTAAATTGATCTTGATTTTCTATTGGCAGTTTATTCAGTATTTCATTGAGAATCTGTGTTGGTATCTGGAATGGAAAGAAAAAGCTAGTGTGTCTGCAGAAATACCTTGATCCTCTCAGAAGTTGGCGTTATTTTTGCAAATTAAGTGAGCTCCCAGATCAGGCTTCAGCGTATTCTGCATCTCTCCGGGTCACACTGCTGGGGAGCGGAGCTGTAACTTCTGGGTTTTGGTGTTTGAACTCTGTAATTCTCGCTTTTAAAATAGGCTTTTGCAACCACTACCCTAAGAGAATTAGGTTCTTTATTACCTGGCGTCACAAGAAGTAAATCCCATTTGTGTGTTAGGTTTGTCCAAGAGAGATCACAGTGGAAATGAGCAGCAGAGGCGAGGCGGTACATGATAGGAGGTGTTTAAGTTCTTAATTGTTTTGGATTCCAGTAGTTACAGAAAGAGTCTATGCTCAAACCTTTTATTAGTGTTACCAGATGACAGCACTAGCACTGCTTTTATTTTCTTTCTGTCTTTTGTAGTCCAGGGTTGGACAGAGTTGGCCCTTGTGTTTGTATTCCTAGAGTTTTATCATAGTTGTTTACTGTATCTTTCACTGGATTTGCTTAGGATAATATCATAATGGATACCTTCTGAAGTCTAAGGGTGAAGCCAAATTATAAGCAGATGGTTCAAATGATGGTATCTACTGTAACTCTTCAGAGTTTACTCTTCAGTGATCCTGAAAATCTGGACAGTCTGAGAAACAAGAGATGAGCTTTCTCTGCTGCGGCTAAACTTGATTTCCAGACCTCTGAGATTAATTGCAAATGGTGCTGTGTGAAACACTTCTGGCAGAAAGCTGTGAAAAATTATATAGCCCAAACAGGTGTTTCCAGTCTCCTGTAAAATAGAAAATAGAGGGGAATGGTGTCAGAGTAACAGGGAGGCAACTGACCCCATCCATGTCTCAGAATGAAATTTAACTTTACAGTTGGCGCATTGCCAGTATTCTAAGGGATAAATGAAAACTACAGGAAGAGAACTTGGAGAAAAGTAATTTCACTGAAAATTTGGAGTGCTCTTTTAAGATGGACTAGCAGAAGGAGGCAGTAGATGCAAGAGAAAATAAACTGTGCTTTAAATTGCTGATGATTTCAACAGTTTGGAATGTGAATTTGTTCTCTTGAAATACACATGGGGTTTAAGTATGTTCTCTTGTGGGCTATATCACAACGTCTCTTGAACTGTTCTTCCTCACTAAGTTACAATGCTTTGTAATTTATGAGCAGGAGAAAGTTTCTTTAAGAGCTATCTGCTCTGACAGCGTCCTAATCAATGATTTTTTTTCTCCACATTGTGTCTTCTGCTATTGTTTATTGTGGTTTTTGAAAGTAAGAGCTGGGGTTTATAATAATTTGGCTGCTTGGCTGTGTTGCTTCCGAAGAAATCCTAACCACTTGTATTTATTAGCAGTTTCAGGCTCGCTCTCATCACTAAGCTGTGACTTCATCTAGATAGTTATTTCGCTTGAGGGTCACTAAGCTCTAACTACTGTGGCCAGGAGTTCGAACAATCACTTTTTTCATGAATCCTCGACAGCCGCTGGGAAAACTGATTTGTTTTATGTTGTATTTACCCAGACTGAAAGTATGGAATGTGCCACTGGTTAAAAAATCACACTTTGCTGGTTTCGCTGAAATGATGCCGTGTGACTGCTGCGTTACTCTGGCTGCATGTCCCTCTCACTGGTGGAGGCTGCGCTGGTAAAATCTGCTCTTGATAGGTGCATTCTATAAACATGAAGCCCTGGCAGCTCCTAGTCTAATCTTTATTTAAAAAACAGTTCCATCTCTTTTTTCTTCGGATCAGATACTTTTGTTGGACTACTGTTGCAGAATAGTCTGCGTTACTCAGAGGGATCATGCGGCCCATCATTTCAACGTCTTATTTCTTTTTAATTATTCTATCAACACCTGAAATAAAATCAAAATTCTAGAAAAAAAGGATTTTTTCTTTTTTTCACAGTGAATTTGTGTGCTGAGCACTTGGAGTTGCTGGTCTTTTTTACGCCATGAACATTTGTTCTGATGAAGATCTTGATTTTTAACTAATTAGTTGGCTTTTGTGATTTCCTTTTGGCTCAGTCAGTAACTTTAGAACAGAAACACATTTATGGTACAATTTGGTATTCCCCAATTTCACGAGTGAAAAAATGGCTCTGTGTCTATGCTCAGTGGCCATGTCATATCCCTCTTCCCTTGGGTTCTGTGTGCCATACTAGCCCAAAAACCAGAAATCAATCACACTCCTCGATGGCTGTGCAGAAGTTCAGCAATGCCCTTTTCATTATTTAAATTGATGATCTAGCCTAGGCAGCATCTAGCTGTGTTATGATCTTTCACATTCTGGAGTGGTAGCAGAAAAGCATGCCTTAAAAACCAGGAGACATGAATGGGAAATTTTAAGGCTAAATTGATCAGAACTCCACTTGACGAGCAGATTTAATTACAAATCATCAGTAGAAGCTCTGAGAGAATTATAAAGCTGAGATGTAAAAATTGTTATTCCACCTTTTTTGTAAGAACTTTTCTAATACAGAATTATAAGCTGTAAAATTTAAAATCACAATTAGAACATTTACATTTCTCATGAAAAAAATGTATAGTCAGAGGATACTGTCAGGATACAGTTGAAATTAATTATGTAAATACATTGAATTTATCTTTATATTGAATCGCAGGTGAATCTGGATTGGGAAAATCTACTTTAATAAACAGCCTCTTCTTGACAGATCTCTACCCAGAAAGGATAATTCCAGGAGCTGCTGGTAAACACCCCTTTGTTCTAGTTTCTCTGTTCTCAATGACTTTTGGAGTTGAATACTTGGATTTTAGTAACAGCCAGTAGTGATTTCTAGCTGTAGAGAATTTGAATGTGTTTCCTGATACTGGAAGTGTTTGACAGAATCGGTTCCCTCTGCACCCAGGATATATGTGCGGTCTTTGTTGTTCAGTCCTTGTGTTGGCACCTAGAAAGCTGATCCCTTCTTTTCCTTAAAAAAACTGCCGTTGTCTTACAGCAAGGCAAACGATCAACTAAAACCATTAGAAGCTTTCTTTAATTTTTAATCTATTGCAATTCTAAACATGCATTGTGTATGCCTGCTTGGACTTGCAACTTGATTCCTTTGCTTTGAGTTGATACTTAGGGAACCTGAACTTCACCTGCTCTTCTTCAGTCCCTCGTCCCTTTTTTATGCTGCCAACCATGGCATACAATAATCCAGCGAAAGGGAATGTTGTAAGAAAATAGAGGATGATACTGTATTTTTCCCCTCTTTGCTGCTTGTTGAATGACTGGCTTCAATGATTTATCATGTTAGCTGGCGACCTAAGGAAAAAATCCATTACATTTAATTTAGTATTGTTCTCCAAATTGCCGATTACCTACATTTTTTTCTCAGTGCCTTTTGCCTTAGATTCTGCATTCTGTATAGCTCAACGTGACGGAGTCTGATAAACTTTGTTCTGAAAGATCGAGTTTATTGTCTTTTAGAGAAGATTGAACGCACTGTGCAGATTGAAGCCTCAACAGTTGAAATTGAAGAGAGGGGCGTGAAACTACGCCTGACAGTTGTGGATACACCGGGATATGGGGATGCTATCAATTGTCGAGACTGGTATGTACAGGGTATATGTTGATCTACTTAGAAAGACTGATGCCCATTGTGTATTTGTTCTGGGGGGATGGAATAAGTAACTGAAGGGGGGCTGTATTAATAATGATATGCAGTTCCAAGTAAGGTGGCCTGAGCGGCAACCCTAGCTCTTTTAAACACTTCCACTCCAAAGGTGATTCAAAGTGTCACGCCATTATCTTCCCTTATTTTGGTGTGTTATGCAAATTGCTGAATTTGAGGTGTGATTTTTGGAGAGATGGGCACGTTTTCTAATTTTGAGGAAGCTTAAATTAGAGTTTTGAGTTCACTCGGGTACCTGTAAAGAGGCATCAATAACTTCCACACAACTTGAAATAAATTTTGTGACACATACTTTGATTTATTATTTTTCTTATTTAACTTGGCAAAGTTTGGAAGAGTTTTAAATGAACAGTGACTTTGTCTTTTTTTATCGTCAGAAAGCAACATAACCATTGGGACATCAGAAATTCAGTACTCTGAAAAATTAATTAATGTAAATGCAAGTAAAAATAGACATTTACGTCTTGTCCACATTCATTTGAGCATTCTCAGATTCTTCATTTTCATCATCTTTGGGTTTGGTTTTTGGGTTTTTTTTAGAGATTTACATTATAACAAGTATTGAGAAATAATCTGGAGATCAATGGCAATCAGTTTTCAGTGGTAATCCTTATTCCCACATCTCTCAAGCCCCTGAACCTCAAGGCAGTGATAAGGGAAATGAAGTCCCTTCCATCGTAAGTGAAGATGAGGTTCAAGACCACCTGAGGAACTTGAACTTGATAAGGAACTGGATGAGTCCATGGGACCCAACAACATGCATCCCCTCTCGTCAGGTTATCTGTGGCAGATGTAGTTGCCAAGCCACTCTCCACAGTATTTCAGAAGTCATGGCAGTCAGGCAAAGTCCCCAGTGACTGGAAAAAGGGAAACATCATGCCCATTTTTAAAAAGGATAAGGAGGAAGACTCTGGGAGCTACCAACCTCTGTGTCAGGCAAGGTCATGGAACAGATGCTCCTGGAAGATATGTTGAAACACATGGAAGACAGGGAGGTGATTAGACACAGCCAGTATGGCTTCACCAAGGGCAAATCATACTTGACTAATCTGGTGGCTTTCTGTGGTAGTGTGGCTAAAGGAAGAGCTGCTGATGTGATCTACCTGGACTTCTGTAAGGCCTTTCCTGTGGTCTTCCATTAATATTCTTTCCTCTAAATTGGAGATGTACGGGTTTGATGGACAGACTGTTAGATGGATAAGGAATTGGCTGGGTAGCTTCATCCAAAAATTTACATGGAAACCAGTAACAAGTGGCGTCCATCCCTCAAGGGTCTGTACTGGGACCAAGACTATTTAATATCTTCATCAATGACACGAAGAATGGAATTGAGTCCACCCTCAGCAAGTTTGCAGATGACGCCAAGCTGAGCGGTGCAGTTGATTCACTAGGGGGCAGTGCTGCCATCCAGAGGGGCCTCGATAGGCTTGAAGAGTGAGCCCAGGCAAATCCCACGAAGTTCAACAAGGCCAAGTGCAAGGTCCTGCAAATGGGTTGTGGAAATCCTCAGTATCAATACAGACTTGGAGACGAATGGGTTGAGAGCAGCCCTGCAGAGAAGAATTTGGGGGTACCAGTGGACGAAAAATTGGATATGAGCTGGCAGTGTGTGCTTGCATCCCTGGAAACAATTTGTATCCTGGGCTGCATCAAAAGGAGCATGGCCAGCAGGTCAAGGGAGGTGATTCTGCACTGCTCCGGTGAGATCTGCATCCAGCCCTGTGACCCCCAGCACAAGACAGACGTAGACCTGTTAGAGCGGGTCCAGGGGAGGCCATGAAAATGATCCAGGGGCTGGAGCACCTCTTCTGTGAGGAAAGGCTGAGTGAGTTGGGAGTTGTTCAGCCTGGAGAAGAGAAGGCTCTGGGGAGACCTTACTAATGCCTTGCAAGACTTACTACGAGGGCTTCTAGTAACAGGGCAAGGGACAACAGTCTTATACTGAAAGAGGATAGATTTAGGTTGGACATAAGAAGTTTATTACAGTGATGGTGGTGAGACACTGGAGCAGGCTTCCAAGAGAAGTTTTGGATGCCCCATCCCTGGAAGTGTTCATGGTTAGGTTGCACGGGGGTTTTGAGTAACCCAAGTTGCTGAAAGGTACAGATTTTAATCTAAGCTTCTTATTCCAAATTAATTTATCTTGAGCATGTGTAATTAATACTAGTCAAAAGGTAAGTACTAACTCAAGAGAAATTTCCTGTAGAAGTTGTGTGTATATGTGTGTGTATTTTATCTTAATATTTAAAAAAAATAAGCATTGTAGTTTGTTACTCTGGAATTCAGTTAAAATTTTAAGATATGTCCTCTTCTTGTGCAGTCTTACAGTATCAGAAAATTATTTTTTGTCCATCAGCAGGTTGGTTCATCAGCAGGATATCTTGGTGTTTTAATATTACCTTTGAAACATCACTAAAATTATTGACCATTTGGGAACCAGCATGATTTCTTGAATCTCTATCTGGTTTACAGTTTCAAGACCATAATCTCTTACATTGATGAGCAGTTTGAGCGATACCTGCATGATGAGAGTGGTTTGAACAGAAGACATATCATAGATAACCGGGTTCATTGCTGCTTCTATTTCATTTCACCATTTGGTCATGGGTAGGTGTTTCTCTATCATTTTATTTTCTAAATTGTTTTGCTTTGGGGGGTTGGTTTGTGCCTGTTGACTTAAATTTTCAGGATCAGATTGCCATTACTTAAGAAGTACTAGAACTGCTGGAATTAACTGTGTGTAAGGAGAGAGATCTACGTTGTTGTGAAAATAAATTGGTAATTTAAGTTATAGCTATCTCCATATTTTAATTTTAGCCTTAAGCCTCTGGATGTTGAGTTTATGAAGGCCATACACAACAAAGTAAATATTGTACCGGTGATTGCAAAAGCTGATACGCTTTCTCTGAAAGAGCGAGAAAGACTAAAGAAAAGGGTAAGTATTTCTGTAGCTTGCAGGAAAATGTTGCACTTGGGTTATAGCAGTATGGTTGCTGAGGAAAGGGGTGTTCTCATTCAACCTTAGTCTGTCCTAGCCAAGAAAAACACAGTCTCACACACACCATAACATTATTTAATATGTAGTTTGATATCTTGTAAATTCTTTTATTATATATTTAAATGAGAAATTGTCCTTAAAGTGTTGCCTGTGAAATGGCAGTTTGGGTACATTCAAAATTCGCTCAAAATGTAATTGTAAAACTTCAGAAAAATACTGAAACTCAGTTGCTAATGGTAACTGCTCCTTTACCTGTTTAATCAGTCCCAAAGCAGATACAGTATCTACATCTATAATGTGCGATTATTTTTTTTTTTACCCGGTCAGAATTCTGATGATTGAAAAATAGGATTTTCAGAGATCTTTCCAATTTTGGGGTTGTTTTCCTTCACTTCTGTCGCGCTCTTCTAATACATTCCAGTTCGTTCTTCCATAGGCCAGACCACTTAACACATTCAGTCTTGGAGGACTTGATGCTGTGTTTGCTGAGGGGAGAAAGAACTACAACAAACCATGAGTTAATAACAACTGTGAAATTTAGAAAGAAGGGTTAGAATTAACTTGCCAGAAGGCACACCTGGTCCAGTCTATTTAAAACATCATCTATGATTTTTTCAGTTATTCTGAAAATCCTTACAGTTATCTTACCCAACTTACCATAAAAAGAGAAGTATACTTTACTTTGATGCATGCATACTGCTAGAATTCTGCAGAAATAACATTTTTAAGAGGGAAATTTGGGTTAATGGCAAATGGATTCCAGCTGCAGATGCCATCCTTAGCAGTCATGAAGACAGAAAAGTATTTGTCATGTCTGTAGCTCAGTTAGGTTTTAAGCACTCCCATTCCTGACCCTCAGTTAGCAATTCAGAGGCAAGAGCAAACAGTTTTAGGCTGTTCAAAGCAATTATGACTTCTCTGTCAATGCTTTATAATTTAAAAAATAAAAAGCAGAGTTTTAAAAAAAGCTGAATTTCTTAAGTGTAAGCCACAAAGGACAGTGCTTATTTTGAATGCTACTGTTTGTCTGGAAGTCTGTGGCAAGTAGTTGTTGAATATCGTGAAGAAATACGTCATTTAAAACTAAATAAATTCCCAAGTAATTTGGATCAGTAATATAGGCCCAAATTCCTCAAGGGATTGTGTATAACTGATTAAGTAATTTTACCTTAAGATTTAAAAGTACTGAATTTACATGTGCATTATCTCAATTTCTTACATATCTCCAGATTCTGGATGAAATTGAAGAGCATGGCATCAAGATTTATCACCTGCCTGATGCTGAATCAGATGAGGATGAGGATTTTAAAGAGCAGACCAGGCTCCTGAAGGTATGACTGGCTTCATAGGTTACATATGTGGATAATACACTGTCTTTCTGGACTGCTGAGGTGGCTTTAGAACGAGATGCGTGCTGTGACCTGCGCTGAGACCTTGAGGGAGTCCCTGTGTCTCTTTGCCCAGGCTTCCCTATCTCGAAGATGGTGGTAGCAATGACTTTCTGTTAACATCTTCAAATTAAAAGCAGTACAAACTTATTAACCACAATATGCAGTGCTGAGCAGAACAAAAGTTGCTTGTTCTGCTTCGTTATTAGTAATTTCTGCATTTTTGGCTTTCAGGCCAGCATTCCATTTTGTGTAGTGGGATCCAATCAACTCATTGAAGCCAAAGGTAAAAAAGTTAGAGGCCGACTCTACCCATGGGGTGTAGTTGAAGTGGAGAATCCAGAACATAATGACTTCCTGAAGCTGAGGACCATGTTAATGTAAGTTAGAATATTCCAGTTAATCACCAGAAAGATACTCAAAAGACTGTAATGGGGGTTTGGAGCATCTGTGGAATCCTTGGAGACATTCAGAATTTGTCTGTAGAAGGCCATGAGCAACCTTGACCTAGCTGGCCTAGGCCGAGGTGGGGATTGGACCTCAGAGGCTCCATAGGTTCTTTCCAATATGAATTACTCCTTGATTCTGTGAAAATAATGTTTTATCTAATTCTTTTGCTGAACACAGTGTTGTATTGCGATTCAGATCTCCAAGAACATGAACCTGGTTGTTTCACACCTGGTGCTTATTTAAATACATCTGACTTCAGAAGGTGCAGACTTCACAAGTCCACTGGTTGATTTTATTTTTTTCCAAGCTTTGCTACTTTGCTTCCCCTGCCCAGCACTGCTTCATCAAACACCTCACCCGAGAGGTCAGCTCATGTCAGGGCTGCCTCAGGGTCTGAGGTGGTCTCTCTCTCTGTCATTTCCCCAATTCAACTTGTTGGCTTCTAAATTAGCATATTAAGAGGGTGTAGATGCTGAACACACTGACCCAACACAGTGCTGAATGTGAGGGTCGGTTAAGCAAGCTGATGTGACACAGATCTGTTGTATCTTTTAATTATTTTTCTTCCTCTAGCACCCATATGCAAGATCTTCAGGAGGTGACTCAGGATCTTCACTATGAGAACTTCCGCTCCGAGAGGCTCAAACGAGGCGGCAGGTTGTCATCTTATGTTTACATGCTGTTTCTTCCTCTTCTGAATCTGACTCTGTCTCTCCTACCATTTCATTGCTAGGATTTGGTAGATCCAGTCAGCACCAAGTTCAGTCGATCAGCTTACACCGAGTGTAAGAAGTATTATTACGTAAATCTGAAGAGACAGTTGTGACATTAAACGGGTGTAGTTAGGTCTCTGTGTTGTTTTAAGGCTTGAACACAGTTGGACTGGAATGTTTGCAGCAAGGAAGTAGGGCAGATGTCTGTGATAAATGTTGTCTTAAAAAATCTGCATGTTAGGTCACTGCCGATATGTTTAAAAAAGGTGGGTTTTTTTCAGAATTAACTACTGGAATATTTGCACCATGTCTTTTAAAAGAAACTCAAATCCTTCTGCAGTGATTTATTAAACATGGTATATATAAACAAATAATTTTCTTTGCATAGCACTCTCAGGATAATGTCTGTCAACCCTATTTTGAGCTGTGGTGGGTAGGGCATAGCTCTTCTGATAAGAGAGACAGGCAGCACACCCCATTTTTAACTCAAAGAGCAGGGTTTGTACAGTTGAGTTTGTGAGATCTCGTTGAAGACTGCGTGTTTCCTGGTTTAGATTTTTCAATTGCTTCTCTCATTTACAACCACTAGAGGGTTTCATAATTGCACATTTCTGTGGGGTTGATGTTGACATAGGTTCTGTCACACGCCTAGTGATTTTTCAGGAAAAGGAGTTTGTCTCTGCCTGTAGCATTGGCCTGCAAGTCCAGTTTTCCCTCCAGACAAGATGACATGCTCTTCTCCCCTGACTTTTAAATCCTGTCTTCTGAAGCTGGGGTCACTGTTGGGTCTGATGCTGTTTAACACCTTTGTCAGTGACATGGATGATGGCATTGAGTGCACCCTCAGCAAGTTTGCTGATGACACCAAGCTGTGTGGTGTGGTGTGGTCGACATGCTGGAGGAAAGGGATGCCATCCAGAGGGACCTGGACAGGCTGGAGAGGTGGGCCTGTGCCAACTTCATGGAGTTCAACAAGGCCAAGGGCAAGGTCCTGCACCTGGGTTGGGGCAATCCCAAACACAAGGACAGGCTGGGTGGAGAGTGGATCGAGAGCAGCCCTGAGGAGAAGGACCTGGGGGTACTGGTGGGTGAAAAGCTGAACATGAGCCGGCAGTATGTGCTGGCAGCCCAGAAAGCCAACCGTATCCTGGGCTGTATCAGGAGAATTGTGGCCAGCAGGGCGAGGGAGGGGATTCTCCCCCTCTGCTGTGCTCTCGTGAGACCCCCCCCTGGAGTACTGCTTCCAGTTCTGGGGCCCCCAACATAAGAAGGATATTGACTGGTTGGAGCGAGTTCTCCAGAGGCTGGAGCACCTCTCCTATGGGGACAGGCTGAGAGAATGGGGCTTGTTCAGCCTGGAGCCCTTAGAGCCCCTTCCAGTACCTGAAGGGACCGACAAGGAAGCTGGGGGGGGACTTTTTACAAGGGCCTGTAGTGACAGGACAAGGGGGAACGGGTTTAAATTGAAAGCAGGGAGGTTTAGATTAGATATCAGGAAGAAATTCTTCCCGGAGAGGGTGGTGAGGCACTGGAACAGGTTGCCCAGAGAAGCTGTGGATGCCCCATCCCTGGAATTGTCCAAGGCCAGGCTGGATAAGGCTTTGAGCAACCTGGTCTAGTGGAAGGTGTCCCTGCCTGTGGCAGGGGGGGGGGAACTAGATGGTCTTTAAGGTACCTTCCAACCCAAATCGTTCTATGGTAAGTTCAAGCTAAAAAAATAGTATTTTTGCCAAGTTCTGCTGCCTGTTATCCAACAGGTATGTACAAAGGTCTTAGCAGTAAAGTAAGCTAAGGATGTCCAGAGTTAACATAGCGTTGACCAAATTTTAGAGGATTTAAAGCTGCCTTTGCCAAGGACCTGTGACAGTAACGTGCTGTTAAGTTGGGGTACCTTTCTTTGTGAAACTAAAACATGTTTTCATATCTTGTGGCCCATCTCTGTTTTCATATTTCTGAAGTGGTGCTAGAATGTAGTTAAGGCCACTCTAAGTGAGGGTAGTTTGCATGTGAATTTATTTCAGAGTTGCACCTACCCCACTGGCAGTGCTTGGCAATTGGTGCTTATTGACTGTGGTCTTAAAGGCTTTTGGGCAGGGAGGAGTGTTTGACATCCATTTCTTTCTGTTAACCTTTTAGCAAGCAGTGCTGTGTTGGCTTTGCACTTTTGATGGCACTTGTGTGCTTAGACCTGTTAGCAGATCTTCCCCGTTGCAACGTGGGATAGGACCACTCTTAGCAAAGTGGTTAGGTAATCTTGGAAATATAGGACATGGAAATATTCTTCCTTTTGGTTTCTCAATGTAAAACTGGAATGTCCCAATCAAAGGAGAGCTTGCTGAGATACTGATCGAGAGCATTTGCCTAATTTTGACAGGAGTAATTGATGTTTATTTTTACTTTAATGTGTTACACAAAAGAATTCTTTTGGACTTATTGGGGAAAAAAGAGGTGACTATACTAGAAAAATAATCCAATTTCGAAGTTTTTAGTGGAGCAAAGGATAAATGGTTTCTCCAATAAGAACGATTGCAGATCTGTACAGTGATTGTATTACTTCTATGGCTTTGGTTATGAGCCTTTTAGATGTTTGGTAGCAAATGGTTCATGAAGTTAGAGATGGGGTAGAACTGCATCAAAGGCAGGTTCTGCCTGGAGGTAGGCAGGTTTCCAGGTAGAGAATTTCTTAGAGCACTGGTTATGTTACATGATGCTTCCATATTTTTGTTAACATCTTGTTCAGCATTACCTTGAACTTAGGTTTTTTGTAGTTGTACTGATTTATTGCACCAGTGAAAGAGAAGCGTTGAGTATGTCTTTGCAGTATTTCTGAATTTGCTATAGCTGCGTGTACTCAAATTGCAGTCAGTAAAGGTAAAGTGCTCGGGGAAATTGCTGTACTTGAATGCTGTTCAGAAACAGTTTGTGTTGATACCTATGTGCAAAGATCTGTCATGTCTTAAAGTCATAGCTAGAACAGGTTTTGAAGTTTATACTTCTGCGCATAGCTTTATGGATGAGTAAGGGATAAATTGATGCCTTAAAAATAATTTAAAACCACAAATTACAGCTGTGTGGGGAATAGGTTTCCATTAATTTTGTTTGTTTTATGAAACTCTGACATACGTGTTTTAAGAACCTTGATTTTGTCAACAAAGCATTCTGTGGAAGTTCAATATCTGGAATGTATGCTCATTACTGACCAATATTCATCTTATTTTAGGAAAATAGAAGATGAAGAAGTAAATAAAGACCAGATTCTGCTTGAAAAAGAAGCTGAAGTAAGATGACAGAACTCTGTATTCTTGTGATGGGGGAATTTTTATTCTTGTATCACTACTTTAGGTCAAATGATTTAAATGATCTTTGTAATTTCATAGACTCATAGAATAGCTTGGGTTGAAAGAGACCTTTAAAGGTCAACTAGTCCAACTTCCCTTGCAGTGTGCAGGAAATTTGTAAAAGAAAGAATTTGGCAAGGAAAATGCAGACTTTGCTAATACAAAGTTATTCCAGGTGCAGCAAGAAAATAGCATTTGAATGGGTGTAGAGGAGTTTCAGGATACTGATTTATGGGAACAAGTGGGATCTGGTAAAATGCCTGATTCCATCATACTGATCAGTGATGGATGTAATGCATGTTGTGTGGGGAGGGAGAGCCATCCCCACACGAGTAAAGGTTCTGAGGTTAGAAATGGCAGACGGGGAAAAAGTCAGTTCAGCTCTGCAGCATCGGCAGAAACAACAGAGTAAGGAGTTGTCAAACAAAGGAATTGTCAGGAACAAAGAATGAAATTGTCATTCTGCCGCTGTGATAAATCCATACTGCATAGCTCTAACACAGTTTTCATTATCCCCCAACCTGAAAAGCATATAGCCAAGGCTAGAAAAAGTGCAGTGAATAGCAGAAAGTGGGCAGAAAGGCTGAAGTGGAGATCTGAAGCAGGTCTGGTACAAGGGGAGATTCAGTTATGTTCTTGTTGGGATGTAGATGACAGAGGGGAAGGATATAGTAAGGGGCTTACATAATCATAGGTGGAACTCGTTAGCATGGAATTTTGTGCATAGCAAAAATGTAGATAAGCGCAAAAATGCTGAGAGGCTGGGGAGTTTTCCTTTCTCCATGGATGTGCTCGCTAAACGCAAAGGTAGGGTTGTTTGGTTTATTAAGTTCAGAATTGACAGACTTGTATAATTTGAGAGGATTTCTCATCTGTGTTTACAGTGTAGGTGCGCAAAGAGACCTGAAAATATTTCAGTAGTGAGGTTGACTGCGAGTTGGGTACAATGAAGGAGTAAGTTTGGTACACGCAGCAAGGCTGAATTAATCTTGGTAGCTGAGTTACATGATTACCCTCTGTTTAACTGTTGCAGTGCTCTGAAAGCCTCAGCCACTTTTAATAATGCTTATGCCTTCTAGGATGGTTTGCTTGGTTTAATTTCTTCCAGCTAACCATCACTAGCAAGGGAGTTGGGAAGTAATCCCAACTTTTTTTAGTGGCAGACGCAGGTGTACTTTGGAGGGAGATAAACAAGCCACTTGTGGTGATAAGCTTTATTAACTGTGTTTCTTCAGCAATTCAGCACCATCCTTTTTATGCATTTAGTTTCAGAGGGAGCCAAGACTTCCGTTTAGGGATGCTTAAAATCTCATCCCAAATTACAATAATAAAGCCTGCTTATTTCAGTAACTTTCCAACCTCTTCACGGATGTAAAAAAGCAGTAGAAGACGCCGCCATAGCCTGAGCTTGGTACCCAGCAGCTAAAGATAATGCAGATATGTCTTCCCTCTTTACTATAATTAATAGTGTGGTGGCAGCAAAGAGTCATACTCTGAGGTGAGATTAAGCTGAAGGATTCTTCTGTGCTCCTTTTCCAGCTTCGTCGCATGCAGGAGATGATTGCCAGAATGCAGGCGCAGATGCAGATGCAGATGCAAAGTGGAGAAGGAGATAGCAGTGCAGTTCACGGACACCATGTATAAAGTCTCTGGTAAGATGTTCAAATAGCCACTTGAAGGGGATTTCTTTTAACTACTTATTATTGGGGTGGGTATTAAGAAGCTGTGGAAAAATGTTCACAAGATGGGTTTGCGTAGGTTTCAGTCTTTTAATTTTTAAGATTTAACTGTTGTTGGTGAAGGAAAATGGCTTGGAGAAAAACCAGTGTCATCGTGTGTGTATATGTATGTATACGCGTGTGTGTGTGTGTGTGTGTGTATGAATATATATAAATTCAAATTTTCCAGAAGGTCAATACAATATATACTGGCAGGAATCAGAATAAGTCTTAGAGATTTTGTAAGCAGGGGATTCTCAAACTCAGGATGAAGTCATTGTTTCATTGTGGCTTTTAAAATGTTTGCAGTGATCTTGGGTTCCTAACTGTAAGACAACGGCTGATCTGAAGTTGTATTCTTCTGTCTTGTTTTTAGATGACGTTATACCCTGACTTAAAGACAAGACTCTGGAGTTGAATTATGGTGGTGGTACACCAGAAAGGATGCCATTTGCTCCACATGTGACTTTGAGTTTGCTTTAGGGTGTAACATGGAACTGCATTGTGGTAACTCTAGTGATATGTATGTCATAACATGTAGTCAGTAATTTTTTTATATATTACACACATTTGACTTCGGTTTTGTTTAGTAACTCTTATATTGAGCTTATTTTCAGTTTCCCATTGTATGAGGGATACAAAATAGACATTTACATTTTTCTAGCCTGATAATAATTCTAGCATTAGATAATATTTTCCTTTTTTTTTTAACAAGGCTTATTAGCTCCCTGCCTTTAACTTTGTATTACATTTAGAACTAAGTAGCTGTCAGTGGTATCTTGTTCAGCAGCATGTAACAGTCACCTCACTAGGCATCACTGCAAGGTTAATTTTATATTTTTTACAGTGCTTATGGGTATGTGTCTGTGAGACCCATCAGCCCTTTTTCTGTCTCTGCTCAGTGCAGATGATTTTCTTGGCCTCTGCAGGTATCAAATTAAAACTAAGGCATGCCTTGTGTCTTAACAAAAGAAGTAAGAGGAGATGTCTCTTTAAGAGGCACACTGTATTTTATATAACTGTCATTATTTCCTTCAGGTTTACCCTTGAGGGACATAGATTCTTTACGATTTGCCTAAAATCTCGTACTCTGCTGCAGATAACTTTTCAGAGTTTTTTGTAGGTTAGCACAAGTCAATCCTGCTATTTTCTGGCATTACTGTAGCCAAATAAACTTGAATAATGCTGATACTGTTAAATGATGTAAACCCCAAAGAGTAGTTTTCTGTGTATGGGTGTTTCCTATATCCAAATGCATAAGAAATTCCAAATGAGTATTTTCGTATGATCTTTAGGGCATTGCAAACTCTTAATTGTAGTGTAAAATATACACTAGCACACTTCTCTTTTTTTTGAAGTGATCTGTGCCTGACAGGATCAATGAAAACTGTATTTTAAGGTCTTGCTCCAAGATGAAGTTAGCAGTATTCAGAAGTGAGTCTGATGAAGTTACGCTTTTGGTTTTTAGGTCAAGGTCACTTTCCTTAGCACTGATAGTAAAGGAGACTGGTTTTTTGAGCTTGGCTGGACTTCTACTACATATCATGTCTGGTGTTGTGCGTGCGGTGCACAACAGCAGCTACAGTGCAGCTGCGTAGGTGGTAGCTGAGAGGAGGGTCAGCAGAAACACGCCGTGGTTGGTTTTTCTACTACTTCTGCTAAAGCCAGCAATCAGATTTCCTAATCTGATCTGTTACAAAACGTTGTTATCTCAACAGCTAGTAAATAGATAGAATTGCAACTTTTTTCTCTTCTTTGAGCTCAGGTGCAGCTGTGACTTTAAAAATATTTTTTTTTAATGTTTCTTTATAAAAATTAATAGGATTTCTACAGCTAATGTGTACTTCTAGTGGTATGTAAGGGGCTAGATTAAATATAAACCTGCAAAGCAACGGACATTTTTACCTGCCTGAAACTACTGCGGATGAATTGTTTTATATTTGAATCTTTCTAAGAACATGATGTAAAATTCTGCATCGCAGCCTTTGCTAGGGAGCTCCGGTTTTCTTCTCAAAAGCAGTTGCTGTCAGTTTTGCATGATTCAGTTCACCTTCCGTAACCCTGACAGAAGTGAAAATGAGAATCTTTTTGTATGTTGAGGTGCACAGAAGTGTTAAGTCCCATTTTGTCAAATATTTACATATAAAACTTAGAAAAACATGCACTTCTAAGTTCTTGTCTTTTTTTTAAGAGTGTGTAGAAACAAAGTACTGTGGCAGTATTGTAAGAAAACACTCCGCAACACCTTATTTATTTCTAAATCTTCTGATATGTTTTTGTAGTTGTCATAAATTTACCAAAAGAACTTACTATAAATTTAAATGATCAAATAATTTGAGAAGTCCCATGCTGGTCTTCACTTGCCACAAATCTGGGGTTTTTTCCTGATAACGCAGCATTTTTCTCCCTTTTTTAAGCTCTTTGTCAGGTATCTCTCTGTTAAAAGTTTTGAACACAATGTGCTTCGGACGCTGCCCGCTTTGCCAGGGAGAGCAGCTCTGGGCCATTCGTGTTTTCACCGATTACCTGGGTAGGGTATGGTAAGCTGCAATAGTGTTCTGAACCTGTACTTGAAGAAAAACTGTGAAATCTTAAAATGTATGCAAAGGGGGACTGGTTGTACATGTAACTAACTCTGTTTATGTTGGGTTTTGAGAGTTCTTTTCTCTATTTTCTAACATGGGAACAAAAGCTGATTGTCCATGCATTTAGTGCTGTTTGTTCACTACCTGTGGAATTATTTTATGCAATGTCTTATTCTTTCAAATACCATGCATCTATTAAAACATTTGATCAGGTTAAAGTATTCTGTTTGATCTTTAGGCAAATAATTTGTAATCTACAAATTCTAGCAGGATAAATATTTTCATACGTGGTTTGGTTTATTTTGGGGTGTTTGGTTTAGTGTTTTTTGTTGTTTGGTTTTTTTTTTTTTTTTACAATTAAGAAAAAGCAAGTTTATGGCACTTGCCATTTTAACTTGAAAAACTTAAGACTGCGAATTGCTGCTTCTTCTTCCCAAGTCTTTTCCCCTTCACTTTTCTTGTGATGGTCTTGCAATGAATGGTTTCATTGTTAAGACATGAAAAGTGAGACTACCTTTCTCAGATTCTGCTTCAAACTCAACTACAGGTAGAAGAAAGAATTGGGTAGAAGAAAGACTTGGAGACAAAAGGTGGAGTTGTTTGCTGGCTTGCCGAACTGGCCACAATTCTTTTCTGTTACAGCATTGTTACGGTTTTTAATTTACTTTTGAATTTGCAGAGCTTTATATTTGGTAGCAAAAACGACTTGCTTTTGGTACAAAAATCTGTTCTGTTCTATGTACTGCCATTAGCCAAGACTGTAATAAAAAATGCTAAAATACACTTTGTTTTAAATTATGTTCCTTTATTATAATCAACCCTGGCAATATTAATTTGTTTATGGTGTTAGGTTTTAAATGTAAAGGAGAAATGCAGATGTGGTTGAAAGAGAACACATTGATGAACCTGCATAAAGTAGGGTACGCTCCAAATGTATTGGTACAGTGCTTTTCCCTATGGGTGTTCCCAGAGCTGCCGAAGTCCTCCCTATGGGATCTGGCTTTTTCAGCAGCTCTCACCCATTATGATATTAGCATAGATTGTTGTTAGGTGGTGCTTTACGTGCTGAGGGTCATTGTTTTCTCCAGTGAATCGTGCTTCGTTTCTGGAGAGAGTGAAAGGGTGTTTGATCTTTGTTCTAGATATTCCAAAATAATTCTGTGTTTGTGTTCCTGTGAAACAACTTCAGTGACCCCTGTGCCTGTTACTCATCAGAGCACCAGGCTGTGTCCTTGGTTTTGGCTAACTTAATACCAGAGGATTTTAAAGCAGTGCTTTGGGTTTGGAATGTGTTGCTTTTGCATGTGCCCTGGTCGGGACAGTTTGCTTCGGGCTGCTCTGTTGGGTCAGTTTGCATCGCTGGGGGCACACATTATGCAGTCAGACCACTCCACAGGGGTGAAACCTGTGCGCATTGTGACCCTTCATGTGTGGTTTTAAAGTATGTTGGTGTTTCATTTCTCTGAAGTATTTAGTGTGGCACTGGAATGTTAACGGAATATTCATGTAGGCTGTAGTGAGGGAGGAGACAAGGGAAGTGTGCTGAATGTGTCAGATCTACTTTCTGAAGAAGACTTTTTCTATGTACCAACGGTATTTCTTCTTCAGAATGGTGTCCTTTCTGTCAGGTGTAGAAGACCACTTGTGTGGAATACCAATTCAGTTCTGGAAAGGAGTGCTGGAAAAGAATTGCACTAGGAGTTACACGATGAAGTAATTGCTAGAAAATTTACTGTAATAAAATCTGCCAGATTTGTTAGTTCCGTGCCCATAAACAAGAAGCATGGTAATTGTGGACGAGGACTGAAATAGCGTGTCAAATCTGCCATGTAAAATGCCTCACAAAACAGGATAACATGCTGTAGGCCCACACTTGTATGCCCACACTTTTCTGAGTATGCCTTTCCCAGTGTTTTTCTTCCACTCGCACCATTTTTCAGCGTACTTAGGATTTATTTTCTTCTGACAGTCTCTGTATTCAGTGTATTTTTCTCTTCTGCCTTTAGACTCCTGCCCTGTCTTTGCTTCTTCCATTTGGTGTCCTGCAAGTTTTTCTTGGTTTTCATCCATACCTTGGGGCAACATTCTTGTAGGTTCCACTTGCCCTCGTTTGGTGACAGTGGCTTGTGTACAGAAGTGTTCCCTTGTCTGAAGAGAGTAGTTGGACCTTACTCCCTAGCCACCTTGGCTCTTCATCAAGGAATGAGGAAGGAGGTCAGAGCCTCTTGTGTACCTGGTTCAGGTCATTCTGAATATTAGGATGGCTGGGCTGGAGACCAAATGTATACCACTTGCTCCTAGGCTTTCCATTTGGTTGACACCTGTGGATGAATTAGTCATA